CAGAGCCTCGTGGCTCCTAGGCAAGTGTTCTACCACTGAGCTGCAGTTCAGACAGACATCTTTTATTATTTTCAACACACGAAGGATAAGCCTAGAAAAACCCAGTCCCCGATTCTTCCGGATCAGGGACACCACCTTGGCTCTGTTTCTCCAGGCTCATCCTTTTACTATGGCATAAAAACACCATAAGGAAGGGTTTGGTTTATTTTAGGGTACAGTCCATCGTGGTGAAGAAATTACAATGCTAAGAGCCTGTCTGGCTGTATCTACAGTCAGGAAGCAGAAAGCGAGCAAGGAAGGCAGGAGCTCGGCTCAGTTTTTCGTTTTTTACTCAGCCAGAACTTCAGCCCATGGAGTGGTGCTGCCCACAGTCAGGGTGTGTCTTCCTCTCCAGTTCAGCCTTTCTGGAAACAATCTTGAGACTGATACCCAGAAGTAAGTCTCCATGGTGACAGCTAGATCCCGTCAAGCTGTGGACTGAGCATCACAACAGGAGAACTGAATGGGGAAGGAGAGCAGGAGAGAAGTCCTCTAGCCTGGGCTGGGCTCCTCCAAGAACTCCTCTGGAATTCAGCCCACTTCTCACCAGGGATGCATGTCACCTGCAGGTGCACTGGGAGCCAGCAAGACAGCCCTGGGGAAGGCTGGGAAAACCCCAGCAGATCTATGTGCAGCAGTCTAACAAAAGCTACATGGGATGTGAGGCTGAGGTGCTAAAACTCACATCTGAGGGACCCCAGGACCCCAGTCTGCCACGTCAGAACAGGCTCCTTCTACGAACTCTCATGTGCCCACAGGTGATGCGCAACACACCCAGGAGAGAAAATGCTCAACTGCCTGTTTCCCTAGAAGTCACACCGTCCCCACCACACCCTCTCTGCCCATAGAAAACAGGAAGGGACGTGACATCCCAGAGGGAAGGACTGAGTGTGCTCATCCAGAGGAGCACTTGAGGGACATCACATGTCACTCAAACTGGAATTTTACAACTGGGCAGGATTCCTTGCTGGGTCTTATGACAGAGCTCAAGAAGATACCATGAGCCATGGGCAATGCAGGCTGTGCTCATAGCGCAGGAGACCAGAAGCTCACGTCTGCAGGATTTTTTCCTTCTTCGAACTGTGAGGTGTCTCTTTTCTCCCCGCCTGCAGGTAAATGGCCTCTGGTTTCCCCTGCCTCCTCTTCCCTTTGGACCTGCAAGCGTGCCTTCGCATAGGCATTAGTCACACTGAATTAGGCCACCCCTAAGGACTTCCTTTAGCTTGACACTTTCTATAATAACCATCTGCAGAGAGATGCCAAGCTGCTGGAACCTAAGGATGTCAACATACATGTTTGGGGTAGGACCCCACTGAACCTGTGACGGGCCTGAGGTTTCCTCACGATACTCTGGGTCAGCTACAGACAGAGACTTTACATTTTCTTCTCTCGCCCCACTGACAAAGGGTGACTCCTGGGAGCTTAACGCAGATGTAAGCAGATGCGCACAGCTTCCCAAATCAATGGCTTGGATTAAGAGCGGCCCCAGAGATATCAAAGCAGAAGCCATTACAACAACAAGAACAAGTGTTGGGAACATAGCACGAAGATCCTGGCGGCCACAGATCTCCAGAGAAACCTGGAATGTGAAAAACACACTTCCCAATCGGAAAGATGAAAAACCTGTTCTTCCATCTAGAGAGCTGAGATTTGGAAGTGATTAACAGACTGGTGATCCGCGTTATCTTTAAGTCAAGCCACACCAAGCTCTTACAACCAGGACCGAGGTGGCTAGGAATAATCTAAATGACCAGAGGTGGATAATAGCCCAAATGACCTCTGCACTATCTGTATGACCTAGACCAGGCCAGACCCTCAGGCCCTTAATCTGGTACAGGTGGCGTATCTCTAGGACCCATCTCTTTGGGAGAAATGACTGTACCCTGAATTGAATTTCAATGTAATTACGATTCCTTGTGCAATAGGGATTGTATTACACCAAGGAACTTTTTTCAAATTATACTGGGCTTAAATACATTGAGAATAAACTGCCTGTTATTAGACTCCCCAAAGTCTGACCCAGGTTGATGGAGTCAATCTGGACCAGCTTTTCATTCTTATCTCCTTTTGTGGTCTGCTTCCCTATGTGACACCTGCAGTAATTCCCTCAAGCAGGCAAGCTCCCAAGCACACAATCCAGCAGATGCTGCCCATGGTTTGTTTTTGCTGAATGTGCACACGATCCTACAAGGCATTTTGAACTCCCAGTCTTACAGGTAGAGCGGAGGCTTGGACAGTTGCTTGGCGTATCCAATGGACCAGATTCCAGACACTGTGTGCTCAGTTCCTCCTTGGCAGCCCTCCCCTCCCCCATTTCCAAGTCGCTTACCTATGAAAGGCTTCCAAAGAGCTCTTCAGCCTGCCCCCTCCCGAGAGTGGAGCTGGGTCCCAGAGACAAAACTGACAGCTGAAAGCTAGGTGACCTGGACCTGCCGGTGTCTTTGTTTCTCACTTGCCTGAATTTGGAGTCTCCTGGGAGATTCTGGGTGTGTCTGTGAGGAAGTTTCAAGAGAGTCTTTACCTTGGGGAAACCCGTGCTGAATGTGGGCCGCAGGGATCTCATGGGATGGGGGCTCAGTGAGCAGCAGGGGAAGTGAACTGAACATCAGCGTTTCCCCTCTGCTTCCTGGTCACAGGATGCAGCCAGATCAGCTGCCTCAGTCAGGCCCCCGCCGCTGAGCCTTCCCACCACAATGGACCATACCCTCCAACCTTGAGCCGAAATGAACCCCTCCTTCCCGAAGTTGCCTTGTCAGGTATTCAAACTGGCACCTGACAAGGCAGCTAAGAGGCACCTAACTGCCGTGGACACAGCACCGCAGTAGGGATACACTGGCTGGGTATAATCATCACTACCAAATTGTCTAGAAAGCAAAGGCCTAAATATCCACCAACAGGATGCTGCTTAATTAAACTAGTAATTCCGTTACGTCTGCTAGGACATAATCAGTGGTGGGCAGAGGAACGTTTGGAGGACAGATTAAAAAATAACTACAAATGTTGTCCTGCACAATCAATATGCATTTTTTTAAACCAGAGAGATGCTGAAATGCTACAGGCAGGTAGACAGGACTGTAAAGCATCAGGGGAAATGTTAATAGGGATCACCCATGGGATGATGGGAGATCTTGCTTTGAGTTTTTGCATGTATTTTAATTTTTAAAGATTTATTTATCTTTATTACGTATGTGTGAGTGTTTTGTCTGGGTGTGTTTGTATACCATGTGTATGCAGTGGAGGCCAGAAGAGAGCCCCAGAACCCTTGGAACTGGAGTCACAAATGGTCGTGGGTGCTGGGAACCTAACCTGACTCTGGGAAAGCAGCAAGTGCTCTTAACTGCTGAGCCATCTCTCCAGTCCTGCATAAATTCTTAATATTTTGACAAAGATCATACATTATTTAATATAAAGAAGGAGAACCATTACTGTCAGGGATCAAAGCATTCTAACTGAGAAGCAAACAATTTTTAGGAGAGGGGTCTCCCTCGCTGGCATCACCTGAGAGCTGTGTCTGCCAAAGGCTGGCCATGGTTTTCAGAGCCCTGCTCCCTTCTCTAAAGGATGTCACTGCGGATGGAGCCTGACCTACTTCCCTTCCCTGTGAATGGAAGCCTGGTCTTGTCTGAATGGTCAGCCTTTCACATGTGACCCCTCATATGAGTCCTGATTGGTCAAAGCTTTCCCTGACAGTGATTGGTTTAGCAGCAGCCATGTGAACGGGCTCTGATAGTGATATGCTAGGAGGGGTCTACCCAGAGCTTCCTTTTCTCTTCTCTGTGGTGGGAGTCAGCTTGTGACCAGTACAGTCACACTTTGGCCACAAAGCCTTGTTCCCTGAAGGCGAGCGACAGTGTGGCAGAAAGGAAGCACTCCTGGGCTCACCTGCTGAATTTCCACACTCCAGTTCTAAGTGTGAGAGTGAATGCCTGTCCATGTGTCCTAGTGTGTTCTAGCGGATACAGTCTTAGTCCTCAGTTCACTGCAAACTGACTCCAAAGATAGATGCTAGGAAGAGGGAGGCTATCAGGGCATGTCCTCACTCCAGCTAGCCTCCTTTGAGATCAGCCAGGAAGTAGGAGTGAATGCCTTTAATCTCAGCACTCCAGAGGCAGAGGCAGGCCATCGCTGAGTTCAAGGCCAGCCTGGTCTACAGAGCAAGTTCCATAACAGCCAAGTCTACACAGATAAACACTGTCTCCAAAAATCAGAAAGTCTTTATAGCAAAAACAAACAAACAAAAAAAAACCCAAACTGATATTGCTTGTCTGCTTCTCAAGTTTACGTGAGTGTGTGATGGTAAATCTTTGGTTGTCAGCGTGACAGGGTCTAGAATCAGCTTGGAGACAAAGTCACAGATGTCATAAAAGGGAGAAATGGACCTGGATTGAGCACCAGCGCTTCCTGACTAGAAGGCAGCGTCACTCGATGCTCGGTGGACCACACTTGGCAACGGTGAGCCAAAGAAGCCCTTCCTTCCTTGTCAGGCGTTTGCGCACAGCTGACGCAGACATATCTGTCATAGCCAAAATAACGAGGAAGAGGCTGAGCTACTGAAAGGAAGAGCTGGCATGGCTCATCTCAGTACTGATGGATTGTGGGACCAACTGAGTATAGAGGACGTAGGCAGGGCTGGACCAGACTGGCCATAAAAGCCTCCACATAGCTGACATTTGTTGTAGAACAAACTGTTTGAAGAAATCTGTTTACACCCAGGAAGAGACTAGGGAAATAAAATGAGATTTATAACAAGGCCACTGGTGGAAAAGAAACCAGAGATTCCTTTTTAATTCTATGTGCATGAATGTTTTTGCTCACATGTATGTCTGTGCACCCTGTGTGCCTGGCGCTTGTGGAGGTCAAAAGAGAGCAGGGGGCCACTCTTTACGAACAGGGTGGGTCCTAAGTGGGAGGTAGCAGGAGATGAGAAGATAAAGTTTGGGATCAAGACCTTTCACACACACTGATGGCTCAAGCAAGCATTTTTATTAAGGAGAACAGCACCTCATATGCTATTTTCAGGGGAGAGGTGGGACAGAGTCCTCAGCAACTGCCATACAATGGGACGAAGTCAGCAGGAAGCTAACCCAGCAATATTGCACACAGAGAACATGCTATCTCTAGAATATTATAGACTGAGCACACAGCAGCAGCCTCGGGACTGGTACCGTAGCCCACATGCCAGCAAGAATTAAATTCCCAGGGTCAAGCTGAAGCCCCTGCAAGGCTCTAGCCCCAGATCTTATCAACTCTGCCTCTACACGAGGGCCTTGAGGAAAACCTCGAATTTTCCTAACTCTCCGCAGGACTCCCTGGAACTGGAGTGATGAACATTTGTGAGCCACCATGTGGATGCCTGGAATTGAACCTGGGTCCTCTGCAAGGACAAATGCTCTTAACCACTGAGCCCTCTCTCTAGAGAATAGAAACCAGTGACATCTGATTCCAGCAGGTGGGGAAGCTGGTGGTCCCTAAGGTGAGAGTGGACCTGGACCGGGGAGCTCACACTTGTTTTCTTTCAGGCTGCCTCAGTTCCTGCCTCCAGCCGTCATTCACTGGGCTTGAGGGGTCAGACCCCTTCCTATTCCGAGATTCAGGGCCAGAGGGCAGTTGCTGGCAGGTGTGTGCTGGATTCCAGAATGAGTCTCTGCTCCACTCCCCTCTAAGAACTGAGTCTTCTCTCTCCAGCTCATCACCAAGCCTGTCTCCCCACTCTGCCTTGATTCCTTGGAATCTGGCTTATCTGACAGGAAGCGGAATGTGTGGTGACCAGGAAAGCCATGGCTCTGGACAGACACCAACTTGGATTCCAGCTCCAGCACAGCCAGCACGCGGTGCGACTGACTTACAAAGCCAGGAACGGACTGAGTCCCCAGAGCCTAGCAAGCTCTCAGTGCAAACCAGTGGATAGGCGTCCAATGGATCTGCCGTCTCCCTCATCCGCAAAGCAGAGCCTTCTAAGGACAGTGACCTAGGACGACTGATGTGCCATTGTCTCCGGCCTCTTCTCACCATGCCTGAAAGTTCACCCCCAGTCAGCCCTTCCCAGTGAGGCATCCGTGACTGGCCAGAGCCATTTATTGTAAACACCTGCTCTGACCAAGAGCCATCCGTGCTATCAGCCAAACACTTAGGTCCTAAACACTCGAGTTCCCTTTCCTGTCTCCTTCAACATCTGGAATCAAATCAGAAATTCATTCAGCTATCCAGATGCTATAGGATGCCAAACATCTGTGTAGCAGAAACCAGGTCACAGAGAAACCTATGCCTGTCTCTCCTAGCACATCTGGGCTGCAGAGCCTCAAGGCGCCAGGGGACCCCATCCACGGCCAACACAGACTCCATGCCCAATTTCCAAGCGGAAGGGTAAACACAGGAAGTCTGTGGTCACAGCCATGCCTGCCAAACCTTTAATAGAATCCTGGTCTGGAAAACAATGGGGAGGGTGCGGGGCTGGAGGTGTCTGGGTCTTTTATTCCCAAGCCGCAATAAACCAGACAACCTGGAAAGAAGGCCATTAACGAAAACCTCTTCTGTCCCCCTTGGTTCCCAGTGGCTTCGGGAAGAGCCACAGCTCCTCCAATTCATACAATGATCTGGTCCACCCTCTCCACACAAAGGAGAAGTCTTTGGGGAGTGTTGTGAGGTTCCAATAGGGGACCGAGGGGGAGGGAACCATGTGAAGGGAAAGAACTTTCAGCCATTCAGTGATAGCAAAATGCAAGCAGCTTTTCCAAGCTGAGCTCTGTTGTGGGTGCTGGGAACGCAGGGTGAGTGGGACACATGGGCTCCTGCCCCAGTGAAGATCCTCTTCCAGTAGGGGACAGGCAGGAGACAACTACATGCATAATAAGTAAGGTGATTTTGATGCCCATGCTACTGAGAAGTGACATCTTGTCTGTGGCCCTGAGCAGGGTCAGACTCCCTCAGAGGAGGTTGCTGTGGGTGTGACTTCATGTGTGGCTTGGGCTTTTTTTTTTTTTTTTGAGGTCAGATCTCTGTAGTCCAGCTAGCTTCAAATTCCTGCCCCAGCTTTTTGATTTCAGGATTACAAATGAGGCATCATGCCCAAGAGGAGGTGACATTGCGGGGGGGGGGGGGTACAAAGGTAAAGCCAGCACTGGAGGCAGGATGGTCCCAAAAGAACAGCCTGGGCAGTGGTTACGGTGGCTACTGTTTGCTCTGGTTAGGTTCCGAGGGCCGGTGAAGACAGCAGGCTGACTAGCAATCGATGTCATGGGGAAGGAGTTGGTGAATGGCTCTCCAAGGTTCTGTGAGCCATGGCAGCAAAGGCTGGGTGTGTTCTACGAGGGAAAATTCTGAGCGAGTGGTCCTGACACTCATCAAGTCCTGACTTGATGTCCTAACAACATCAAGTGAGGGGCTTGATGTTGGCCCGTGTGAATGATGGCCAAGTGAATGATGGCCCTGCGGCACCTCAGAGCCACAAACCATCCATACAGGAAAGGAAGAGTTTCAGAGATGTTTCAAGCCCCCCCCCCCACAAGGCCCCTGATTGCTGTGCACAGTGCAGGTAGGATTCCAGCCCACGCAGGCAGAGAAAGGAGCTTCTCTTGCCAAGCCATTGCCGTCATGGTGGCCTTTAAACCTGGCTCTCTGCGGGAGCTCACTCTCTGGGTGGATTCTGCCGGGACCACTCCCAGCTGCCCACAAAGCTCTGTCTGCTTCTCCCCTGCCATCTGCAGGGGTGTGGAGGGAAGGTCACTCCTTCGGACACCATGGATTATTTTACATCTACAAGATCTTTCATTCTCTTCACAAGACATTCATCTCAGATACACAGACTGAGATTTTACTATATGGAGGTGTCCCTGTCATTACCTCCCAAGTTCAGAGACACCCTCACCCACAACCGGGGCAATAGTGAAGATGTTTTAGAAATATCTTGTTTCTGCTCCAATGTGGGTTTTGCTAAGACTCAGTTTCAGCCAGGATTCTGAAGGACCCTGGGCAGATGGCTGCCAAAGCTGGTATTCAAAGTCTAGCCACGAAGAGGGCAGATGGGTGAGACTCAGGTATCCAAGCTGAAATTTTAAAAGTGACTCTCAGGAGCATGCTCACACCACTGTCATTGAAGGGGGGGGGCGTGTCCTCCGACTATGTGTATCTTGTTCAGTTTCACAGTCTGGGAATTAGGGGCCTGAGAAGGGATGAGCTCGGAGTAGTGTCTCTTCCGAACTCTGAAGCTCAGAGACTGAGAGGAACTGACAAGCTCTGCAAACGTCACGTCCTTCCCTCCAAGGGCAAGGCAGTCCCTCAGGCTCATCACCACCCCTCCTCGGAAGTCAATGGGGGTGGGCAGAGACTGACCAAGTAACTTCTGGAGAAAGTAAGAGCTTTCAGACAGACACACAGACAGACAGATAGACAGGGCTTGGCTCTCGGTTCTCACTAGCACAGTTTACCTCACCTGTCTGATTTCTCAACTTCATCCGTCTATGGACATAGCACCAGGTCTTAGCACAAGTCTTTCATGGTCTTTTTTATGACGATTCAGTGACATTGTGGGACGGAAATGCTTGCCCCAAGCTTGAGCATGCCCAAGTAATCACACAGCAGCCATTGAGCCTCCCAGGCCAGTTGGGCATGCTCTGACCTGTGTGTCTTCCTTACCTGCCAGCTCTGTGTCCCCACCTGGCCAGTGACCAGGCTGGCATGCCTAGAGTTGTGCCCATCCTCTGGGAGAGACAGAGCTGGTTGTCCAAGGCTAGCCTCCAGCGCAGATGCTCTGAGTACCTCCCGCAGCCGCCATGGCAGCAGCTTCAGCGTGCCTCTGTGCTAATGTATGTATTATTTACAGAGTTTCCCCATGTACTCAGAACTCCCCTGAGAAGTATAATTGTGCACTGGGAGGTACATCTGAATAATATTTACAATTAATTTCCATCAACAAACTGATGCAGCAGGACCTCTGTGCTGCACAGATGGGCCCAGGGTTGGCTTCCCGCTAACCACTCCCCTGAGAGAGCTCAGAGCTTTTAAATATCTCTCAAAATTCTCCACTCTCTCCAACGCTCCCAGTCCAGAGACCTCTGCTGTGCAGCCTGCCTCCCAGCTTCCTTTCCCCGGTGCTTTCTAGAGCAGAGAGGGGAGGGATTCAACATGCAGGTCTAAGCAGGTCAGTCCCCACCTGGGCCTCCCCAGCTCTGGTCCTCTGCCCGCCTCCTGCTTGCTGTCCCCTCAGACCCCTGCATGGCTCCCCCTCCACACAGCACTGACAACTCCTCCAGTTCCGCCTGGAGCATCAGGCACCCCCCTAACCGTCTCAACACTGACCTGCTCTCCCCAGATCAACACAGTCCCTTCCCAAGGACCCGTCCCTGACCCCCTGTGACAAGCATCACAACTCACAGTGGCTCTCTCCACAAGGATAGAGAGCTTCGTCTGAACAGCAGAACCACAGACTCCAAAGTCCCGCTCTGAACCGGGAACCCCAGGGGATGAGCTAGAGGAGTTCCAAGAGAGCCTGGCTCCTGGGAAGGAGGTGGAGGTTCCGCTGTCTCCTTTCCCCTCCATTTTCCCCCTCCTTCCCCTTCTCTCCCTCCCACGTTGCTTTCATGGGCTGACAAAGGTGGGGTCTCAGGCAGCAGAGCTGGTTCCAAGTGACCCCATACACACCCCACACCACTTCCTAGCTGTGTGGCCCTGACTTCACCTTCTGCATAACCCAAAGGGACACAGTGTCCTCCTCTGCCAGGTCCAGGCAGAGACTGGAAAACTCATTGGCATCTGGATGCTCAGAAGCATGGGTCCTCTACTCCTCAGCAAGCCCTGCTCCCCTCCCCCACACTCCAGTGATCTTCCTTTCTTGTCCCCCCCACATCTTGTCTTGTTCCTCAGTTCCCTCGGCCCATCCCCCACCCAGGAGGCATCTCTGCTGGGTCCCAGCCCCAGAGGAGGCACTGCCCTGGTCAGTCTTTGCAGGGACACAGGGGGCCACTGCAGTTTGCCAGCTACAAGGATTACGCATGGGTCCTGGGGGATAGGGTTTGCTGTGGGAAGCCATGAGGACAAGACTGGAGGTTTCACTTAGCACTTTGCAGGAGTAGAGTGTTATGACAGTCAGGAGGAAGAGGGTTTGACCAGTGTCGCTCTCCTGTTTGTCAGCTTTTCCAATGGCCCCCTGCCTGGCCTGGCCAACCCTGAAGTCTGTGGCATGATGAATCCCATACCATGGCATGCCTCCGTTCACATCTGTGGCCCTGGGAAGGACAGTAGGAACTCAAGGCTATTTTTAAACCTCCCTCCTTGTTCTCAATCCCTGTAAGTTCAGGCCCTCTGAAGCAATCAGAAGTTCCAGCTTGGATCACTTCAGAACTGCTCATCTCAAGACCCCACAGGGGAGGAGCAGTCTGTCCCCTGATGGAGTGCGAGTTCTAGCAGCCTAAAGTTCAGGAACTGCCAGGCCAGAGGACACACATGTGCGTATTACATCCTGATGGAGAAGGGGCTTGGAAGAGAACCAAAGGTGGACACCGTGGACCAGGAGGCCATGGACCCAGAAGGGCTACCCCTGCCAGGCTCCTCCCTCCGCTTGCCCAGATTCAGCATGTGTGTGTGACAGGAACCAGGAGGAGTGAAGGCTGGAGATCAAGCGCATTTTCTTTGCATGTTGGGTTACTCTGAAATCAACACGCAAAGCTTCGTAAAGACTATTAAAATGTTCACATGGATCCACTAAAGAACTAATATTTATGGCTAAAACCCCAAACCACTAGTTCCTTCCTGACTCCACCTCTCCTTTGCGACAGGAAACTGAGGTTCAATTCCAGCCTGCCAGCACCTCACTTGGTCCCACTGGCCAGTTACTTAACCTCTTTGAGTCTCTGACTCCTCATATGTATAAAGACCTAAATCAGGGTTTCTGTGAAGAATAAATGAGAAGATACATGTGAAACACTTTAAATGCATGGTAAATGTTTTAAGTTTAAATATGTTTAAATAATGCAGGCTATCAAATCCTCAGTGTAGGAATGAAGGCAGCCAGGCAGAGCTGGGCTCAGGTCTTTGTCACTGACTAAGAGTGTATGGTGTTCGGTGAGTCATTTCCCTTCCTCAAGTCTTGGCTTCCCCGCCAGGAGAAAGTGTCTGATTTGGGGAAGAAAGTCCATCCATGGGCTGCTCAAAAGGCTGTGCCGCCTCACCTGGGAAGCATGATTCAAGAAGGAGTCAGTTAGCTCAGCAGCTTCACAGCCCAGCCCTCAGAGACAGCTTTGGGAGATGCTCTGAGCCTGGAGTCTCAAAACTCCGCTCTCCAGTCTCCAGGAAGCTTAAAGGGGATGGACGGGGGAGACGACACCCCCACCTTCCTCCCTGCACCCCCCACGCTCCACCCAGGGAGGTGTATTCTAAGACCTTCCAGCCAGAGCTGAGAAGATCAGGGAAGGAGAGAAGAGACCCTGGGATGGAGTGGAAGCTTGGGCGAAGATGTCCTCCACCCCAGCTTCAGGTTACAATAGGCACAGGAGCAAAGGGCCGCCACCACCTGACCCCACAACCTAGAGTACCATCTCCCTGTGGCATGCTGCTGATTTCTGTGCCTCCATCCTTTGGGTTCCTACTCTCCTCCATTTCTTTATCACCACCACCACCACCCACAGCCGGCCTCGCCCTTGCAGGGTTCCATGCAGCCCCTCAGGTCCTGGTCTTCCCAGCTCATCTGAAATCCAAAGTCAAGTTCTTGGAGGATGCTGGCAGTGGCAAGGGAGGCTTGCTGGCTTGACTGCCCTGTGGTTCTAACAGGTCCGCAACGGGTTTGCGCTGACTTCCTCACCCACACTAGCGACTCTGCAGCACACACAGGAAATTATGTGCCCGTATGGAGAACCCTGCCCTCTTCTGAGTTGGTCAAAGCTGGTTCCCTACTCCTGCTGCTCCAGAGGCTCAGATTGATCTGACTTCCATTTTGCTGAAGAGTGTCCACACTCTGGAATCCTACTCGAAACATGAGTACATGTACAAAATGTAGTGGGCATTGGAGCATACCAGAAAGGTTCCTATCATGTCTCCCGCTTCAACAGACAAGTCCTGGGTGTCACTGGGTGTCCCTGGGTTGCGGCACCCACCGGGGCGTTGCCAATAGGGCTCAAAGTGCGCTGGTCTCCTTCTCATTCACTGAAGGCTTCTCATTCAACGAGGACATCTTGGTGAAGCTCCTGTGACTGGGGTAGGAGGAGGGTCCTGTGTCTTCACTCAGGGCATTGACCAAGCGGGAGAAAAGAGCCACCTTGAATTTCTTGAAGTCATGGCCCATGAAGACATAGAGAATGGGGTTCATGCAGCTGTTGGCGATGGCAATGGCAGTGGCCAGAGGCAGTCCCAGGCTGAAGACAGAGCCCGGTACAGCCGTGTGGTGGAGCTCCAGCAGGTAGAGTGTGTGGTAGGGACACCAACAGAGGAAGAAGGTGACGATGATGGTGATGATGATCTTGAAGGGCTTCTTGGTCTTGGCCAGGCGATTGCGCCGCAGCTTGAAAACGATGGTGAGATAACAGGCAGTGATGATAAAGACTGGGATCAGGAAGCCACAAAGGAAGCGGGTGACGGTGACTACGACGTGCCTACTGAACCCTACATGATCCACCCGGGAGTTAGCGGAGTGTGGGAAAGACGGGGTGGCAGACAAGCTGAAGTTGTTGAAGCAGGTTATTTTCCCATGCATATTGTTTATGTCCCGGAAGACAAGAGATGGGGAACTCAAGAAGAAAGACAGAACCCAGACGGCCACACAGGTCATGTAGGCCAGTCGGACACTGCGGTGGTTCTGGGACCAGACAGGAAGCAGCACAGAGATGCAGCGGTCAAAGCTGATAACCGTGAGCAGGAAGACGCTGGTGTACATGTTGTGACTGAGCAAAAAGCTGCTGATCTTGCACACGGCCTTCCCAAACACCCAGTGGTAGTCCATAGCGGCATAGGTGATGTGGATGGGCAGGAAGATGTTGAACAGGAAATCAGCCACTGCCAGGTTGACGAACCACACAGTGTTCACCGTCTTCTTCATCTTGAATGTGGCAATGAGAATCACCAGGCCATTGCCTAGGATCCCAAGGAAGCATACCACGCTGTAGATCACCACCAGGAAGACACGGGCCACCTTGGCTTCTAGTGGCTGCACCTCCTCCAAATCCACAATGGGGCCGAAGCCGTCTATGTACTCATAATTGTAACTGCTGGAATCATTGTAAGCATCGTACTCCATCTCTGCAAGAGATGACAGGGTCACAGGCTAAAGACCTCGACAGACAGGTGCTGAGGCATTGCCTGGCAACAGAGAGACCGTCATCTGAGAGAGGACAGGGCCATAAGTCAGCCATCTCCCCTCTGTCATTTCATTTCTTTGCTTTGTATTCATTGCCTGTCATATGTGCATGTACATGTGCTCATGTAGTAGGTGTATGTGAGGGCAGAGGGTAATGGCAGAGGAGACACGGAACATGAAGTTCCTCAGTTCATTTAGTACTCATAACCATCTCCCCGGCCTCCTTCTATTCCCACTGCTATCACCACTCCCCTCCTCCTCTTCCTCCTCCTCCCCAGTCCTCCTTCTACCCACTCTCCTCCTCTTCCTCCTCCTCCCCAGTCCTCCTTCTAC